CACAGCTCGCGGGCACCCACGTGTTTTGAACGAACTTTAAGCTTAAACATTGAACGTATTTTAAGCTTGCAATTTCCCTTCCAGCGAAATTAAGCTAACGCACCCTTTGCTGTTTGCCAGCCATTCGACCAGCGAATTTTAGGTGAAAAGGTTGCCATAGTCAGCCATAATAACACTTGAACTGCTATAATGGAAATAGATAGGTACGAGTAATTTCGTTTCTATTTAAACAACAGTCAACACTTTGATTCCCACTAACAGTGGAAACAAAGCATTTTAAAACCAATTATTTTGCCAACAAAATGGAGGATCCATTCTCTAGATGCAGGAGGTTCAATAGAGGCTCGAATATCTTTTTTCCAGCCTCGTGCAGGAGTATGTGAAAAATATCGTTCCGGTTATCGATGCTACTGTTACGATTTAGCCTTGTACAACGATACCTTGTCAGCTGATACTGAATGGAATGGAAAATCTATAGGTTGTGCAACTAATACGGAGATCGTGTTCCTGGTCTCGTTACGTCGACAATGAATATTCCGTAATGCGGTGTAACTTTTCAGCCTGTATTCCATGAATGCGATTCGTTCCTGTTAACTCCTGCGTGAAAGAATAATCTTTATTTACAAAATCTGTCCAACTTCTCTTAACTTTCTGCGATACGGGATTTCAGATAATAAAATAGACCCACGTTGCATAGTAATTTTATTGCATTTTAAACGAAACAAAATTGCGTGGTAAGATTTAGTTAGTAAATCGAAAAGGGTACTGGACTTTTGATTCTGATTATATTTTATATTTCCTGGATATAAAGGTATAAAGTAAACGGAGGTTCTAGGTCTTCTATGATGCGTGGTGCACACGGTGGAGTGTCAAAATGGCGTGTTCCTTCGAACCCTTCATCAAGGTTTTTAACCCCTTGACTACGGCAGATTTTGATACGCAGCGGCCGTACCATACGACAAGATCATACGACAATTGAGATACGATGTGCGCCATTTTTGTAAAAACAAGCGCCCTCTGTGTCAGAAAGCTGAACTAGCAAAATTTCTAAGTGTCCATAGACGCCCACAGTAGTCAAGGGGTTAAAGGCTCCGTGACACCAGCACATTGCGTGATTCAACCTAGCTTCGAAGAAAATTGATAAGCTGGATGGTTCCTCGAAGCAAAGATAGATCCTGATGCAGGGTGACGTCACGCAAATAAAGATTCCCCTCGCGATTGGTATATTTTTACTAATAAAGGAATCACATAATGTAAAAGGATACAAAAATAATAATAATTTAATTGAATTTGTTATAAGGTGGGACTCAAATAGTCCCACTGCCCCGTGTTGAATGTTGCCAACGCAAGCGAATACATTTATAACATTTTTCGAAGGTATAACCAACTGCTTTACGTAAATAAGACGAAATATGAACCTATGCGCCTGCAGCTATTGCAATATTTCGAGGTGAGACTAAAAATGTCCCACCATGCATTACGGTGCATCAAAAAGATGGGATACTTTCAACCCTTTCGCTACTACGGGTGACGCCATCTACACACGATGGGTGACTATAGTCACCGGCCACAAAAATTGAAGCGCTGGCAAGAAATTCACAGACGCTGGTGCCCGAACGGTCCAGTGTTTCCGTGACAATTGCACGACGACGTGTATACCTCGTTGTTGGCGATTCTGCGACAAAAGCGTTACGACGTGCGTCGCACGTCTTTCCAGCGCAAGTGGTTACGAGACTTCGCAGCGACACCTGCCGTAGCGAAAGGGTTAATCCCAGCGTGCTCAAAGAGTTAACACGTTAAGTGCCACGCTGGTCCCCAAGGACCTGCGCTAGACTTTCCATTCGGGTTCGATCGGCCCAGACTAGGACCAAAAGGTGCTAACTTTGGTTTTAAATTCTTCGCCATCTTTGGACCTAACGTTTGGGAATTTCTGTTATAATAATTAAAAAATAAAATACAGTATCTCCGAGTTTTATGAACACTTTGCCCGCCACCGGTGGGCCCACTTGACGGTCGAGTCTGGGCCTGAACGGAACGGCAAGCAAAACGGGGACTAATAATTATTTATTATTTATTTATTAATAATTAGTAATCATTTCCATTTAAAATACACAGAGATTGCTAACTTGCTATACTCCGAACGAATTTAACCCTCTATGGGCCCGTGTAACTTTCAAGTTACATACTAATGTATGGCTATTTTATTAAATACTGCATTCAACGTTATCGTCTTCAAAATTTAACCCTCTATGGGCCCGTGTAACTTTCAAGTTACATATTAATGTATGGCTATTTTATTAAATACTGCATTCAACGTTATCGTCTTCATGACTCCAGTTCGTGATTTTTCTTTCGATATATTTCTAATTATTTTTACAATAACTCCCGTGGTTCCATTTTTAAAAATTCTAATTCCTTTTCATTTACCGCTTATTCGATCACGATAGGTTAGGTCCACTATGGCCCTCTATGACCTTTTCTCCATAAGATGGCGTGGAAAATTATCTTGTCTATCTATTGCGCATTATCTTGGCACGATAGTACTACCGTTGTTAATTCAAACTTTCAATATGAATTCGTTATAATAAAATTGTCAAAACTGCTGAATTTATTGATTCATATTTGTTGATTTCATGTTACATACAATTCTTATGGTCGAGAAAAATATATATTCGATCCATGGAGGGTTAAATATTCAGCATGTACCGTAAGGAAAATAAGGAAAATATTTTACGAAGAACACGGTCGTTGAAGCTTCCAAAAAATTCAAAGAGGATTTTATAAAGGAGATCAACTTTTAATTCGAAAGCGGGTATATTCCCAATAAATCGCGACACGTCACAGAATGACATCTCAATGTAATCTGCAGCCGAGTTCCACGATATTTATATAACCCACGCGCCGCTAGAATGTTTCTGTTAAATCATAACTAAATGTACTTTCTACCCACTTTAAAACTGCTCTGGGCAAATTTCGTTACGTTACACGAAATGCAGTCCATGTAAGCCAATGCATGGGGGAAACGCGTTTCAGACGTGACTTTTCCTTTTACGACTGCGGCGTAACCGAGCCGGGTGAATATGCAAAGGTCGTTTTTAACGCGATCGCTTATACAGTGAACCTGCTAAAAATAAACCTTCCAACGATTCTGCATGCCCGTAAAAATCCCTCCTCGCCGATCTAAAAAAAAAAGAGCTGGAGAAAAGCAACCGTGAACAACGCTGTAAAAATTCGATTACGACGGTTAGATAACAGCTGAATAATTCATAATTCGGATTAACCATTTTCTGAGCAGCCGTTTGCGATATTTCTATCTCCGCGCTAGCGTTGGAAAATTGGCGAGCGTAATAATTTATTAAACGTAGCAATATACGGGTTATTAGACCAGCCGCTATAACGCGAAATTGCACGGGAATGTACTGTGTTGCAATTAAATTCAGAACGACCCTCAAGTGCATTCTCGCGAATACTTTCAGCGTGTAACCATTACTCTATTTAATAACGATTGTGACAGGATAATCTGTGGGAAAACGGTCCCGTCTGCACAGGCAGATTTCAAGGCACAATTTACGAACACCATATAAGCGGCAAGAATGTTAATGAAGTTCTACCGTGGTTCGTGCGGAGCGTTTAATTGATAAACCGAAATGCAATTTCCAGACAGCGAAGAAAGTAGCTCGACTGATTGTGGAATAATTGATCATCCTTGCAAGCAGAGAGGAGTAATAATAAGATCACTAAAACTGGGGGATAAGGAAGGAATCGATATTTGAATTACTATTAGACTCCCCGAATTTCTACGAACAGGTGTGTAAGAATGGAATGAAAGAATGGCCCTGAAGAATGTCAAGAGTGTTTGGGCTTGGAACGAAAGTGACAGTGTGCAGGAGGATTGACTGTAAAGAATGTTTATGATAGAGTCGAGTGAAAGATTAGGGATGCGTTCAGAGTGGTTGAAGTACCTGGCCCACCGAGGTTGCGTGAGAAAAGGCGTGATTGAGAAGGAAAGCCTGAGTATAAAGGAGTACAAAATGAATGGTTAATAAATTAAGGGTGCAAGGGCGTGACAGGACAATTTATGAAAGGATCAGTTGTAAGAGTCAGTTTTAAGAAAGATCAGAAAAATGTGCCCATAGAAAATGAGCTGTTATTTCATAACCAGTCGCTGTCATTCTATTTACAAGCTTATTTTATTCTATTAAGAAGCCAAGAATATTATCTTATGTCAATCCATCCAAAAATGATCCTATAGGTATAATGCCAAATACTAATACCTAGTAATACCTAATAAAAATAAAACACTAATAGCTAATAATAATATAATACCTAAAAATTCTTCTATCTTCTAACACCTTGATAACCTAACACAAGCCCACCAACCATTTCTTCAAAATTATCGAAGTATCTTTACCCACTGTCTAAATATTCGAAAGCGTCAGCAAGTCGCTGTCAATAAATCTCGACGATTAATCCCGAAAATGGCATGGCAAATGCGACTCTCGGCCATCATCTGCCTCGTCAATTAAACTTTTAATTCGTCCTCGTTAATCGTACAATCTGTCAAGTAAAAAAGACGGTCAGAGTGCGTGTTGTGCCAGGGTACGAAAGCGAGCTAGAAGGAGAGCTGAACGGGTGAACCTTCGAAGGTAGAAGCCACGAGTGGCACGTCAATGCCGTCATATTTCGTAGCGGGAAACAGGATATGCCGATTCACGTGCGTTCGCGAGTGCACGGCTCGTATACGATAGTTTCGGGTTACCTTGATACAGAATATGCCCAGAGCACGCGGACAGGTAGATGCGTGGCGCGCAGCCGACTCCGCTGCGTCTAGAAACGAAAGTAGGCTAGGACGTTGGGTAATTAAGTCGAAAAAAGAGTGGAAGGAAAAAGGAAAGACCGACACGGCGAAAGTGCGAGACTCGGAGGGCAGGCTATGGGCTAACACCATAAAACAGGACTCGAAAACGCTCACGTTGACGCCACGTTTCTTCGTCTTTCAGCCCGACGACAGGCGGATCGCAGACATGCATCACCTACGACGCCGTGAATCGCGCCTACGTCGAAGCGAGGAAACGCATCAGTGAGTGTTACGAATAGACCAGGTGGTGGGGTGAAAAAATTAATCCTAATTAGTTAATCGTAATCGTACCAGCGCGGGATGATTTACCTGTGCGCGAGTGTGCTCGCGGTTCCGTCACGTTGTCTTGATTATACTTCGCTATAAGCATTCATCGGCTAACGCGCTCCTTTGTTCGTTCCCGTTCACGATCATGCTCACGCACGTTTCGTTGGTTCATGCAGATGTGGCGCAACCCAAGAGCAAAATGTGGAGACCGGAGGATCTGGCCACGGTTGGGGAGCTGTTGCTGGACATCAGCAGCAACCTCGTTCAAACGTAAGAACTTCGTCTTTCGACTTGCTATTTGATCTTACATATTGATTGAGATTGGAGAGGAGAACAGGTGTCTCTGATCTTCAGAAAGTCGAAATGAACTTGCCTCGTTAGCAAGAATTGTACCTCGACACCGTTGAGTCTCTCCAATTTCGTGATTTTTAAAGATTCTTTGAAATATACGTCAACAACTTCATCGCGAAATCCGATTACAGGTACGGCCTGACTTTCGAAGAGATCGAAGAGAGTCTACCCCTGATCGACACCTCGAAGACCCTGATTCGCGAGGTGTGCCCGGCGTTTTTGAGCAACGTGGAGTGCCGAGCAGGGAAATATCGTAGGAACGACGGCCTGTGCACGAATTTGCGGAACCCAACGTGGGGCTCCACTCTGTCACCGTTCCAGAGGTAAACAAACGCTATTGAACTCGTTTATCAATTTCTCGCGATGACAAATTTTCGTCTGTCGCGCAGATTGATGGCTCCACGATTCTCGGACGGTTTAACAGCGCCTAGGATATCGCTAACCGGTCATGATTTACCATTATCACGCGTGGTGTCACGCACCATGCATCCTGACGACGGTTATCACGATCATGCCGGCACAGTCATGGTCATCGCCTGGGGACAGTTTATGGATCACGACTATACGCTGACTGGAACGCCTCTAGGTACGATCCCAGATCCGATAATTGCCCGGCTAGCCGGTGCAACGCGCGTAGAATTGTCGTGGCTGAAAGAAGGGTAGATCGATCCGTGTTCGATAGGATGGAATGTGCCTTTCGTGAAGGCGAATAAGAATGTAAACTTTGCCTAGCCTCGGATCACTTACGCCTGATAATCGTTTAATCTTCCAGCGGTTAGCCGCTGGTTTCGTAATAGGCTCGGGACGAGATACGCCACGTTGCTCGCAGACGGTTGCTATAATTTGTTCCATCGGTTGGGAATTAATTGGTACGAAAAAACCAGGAAATACGCCTGCCGGCGTATTCGGGGGAACGAAACGCGGGACGATCCTGCTTGGCGGAAAGTAGGGTCTCAGGGGCACCGATTCTCGATCTCACGCGGTCGATGCACGAAACGTGGATACGGATATGGGGAACAAACGATGGGCAAACGAAGCCTGATGCCCTGATCACGAGGGAACGGTGACCGAGAAATCGTGACAGAAAAATGGAGAAAGTAACCCGAGCCCTAATTTTCAGTCAATAGCGAATTACGCAATGGTCGTGGTGCTCGTCGGTACAATTACATCAGCGTCGCCAGGTCGTTCGTATATAGTAAACGTCGTGGACAGCTCCCAAGCCCTTCTACGTCGAATATTTACCGTCTATCGAAACTAGGGTAACCGCCAGAGAAAGCGAACGATCGCCGGCCAGATAAGTGGTAGGCCGATCATGTGACTACCGCGAAGTTTCCACGGAGCGTGCGATCCACGCTAAAATCGCACGCGTCCACACGCGGCCGTCCTGGAACTTGGTAATTAGCGGCAGGAACAGGAGACCGATCGTGGCTTTGCTCGTACAGAGCAATTAATTGGCTCCCCGATACGAAATCAGAGATATTTCGATAAACGGGTGTAATTCGACCGGTGTTGCGTTGAAAAATGAGAGCGCTGTTTCTTTTTTCGAGGCGAGCGATTTTCTCCGTTAATTCGTTCTCGCGTTTCACTTGCGGTCAATTTCTAGAGGTTCCTGGATCGCGATGATTAATGCGGACTCGACGTTTTCGTTGAGAAATTCGGGATTTCTCGTTCATTAATCCGTCCGTTAGGTATGCGATGTCCAAAAGAGAAACGAGCAATTCCTACGTTCCGTTTTATCGTATTTTTATCTTGTTTTATTTTGTTTTAAATTTCGAGCAATCCCAATGATCTTTCCGCGATCCCAGCGCTATGCCAGACATTCTTATCCACGATCACTCGCGTCTCTGCGCCTTACGTAATTCGCATCGAAGGCTATTTACTCTTCCCTTCATCCGCAAGTTCATCGTACGGAACAATCACGAGGGTAAATATTCACGCTGCATTGCCCCTCGTATTAATGATTAACGCGAATAAACGATACGAATACTCGCGCCGCAGAGTGTCCGTGAATAAGTTGCACGCAGCGAAAGGGATCGAACGTATCTACATATCGCAGCGAGGATCTTCAATCTTCCTCGTGTAATTACATGCCCTTCCGACCAACAACGATTACCTGTCCATTAAACGCGACAGAGCAAGGCGAATCTTATCGCAATCGCAACCAGGCAAGAATTCATTCAAGACCCGAGACAAGCATCCGAGCCATCGCTAAACCACTCAAAGAACACCGCGGAGACAATGGAATTAAGCGAAAGAGAAATTCAAATCGATCATCAACCGCTTAATCTACAACCGGTCTCGCGTGGCTGTCTCTTACGCTATCGCTCTCTATCTCGCCTGAAAAATCGTTCCCAGAGTTACGCTACCGGCTTTTCTGCGGTTCTCCTCGTTCACGCCTCCGTCGAATCTTCCCACGTGAGCCGCGAACGGGAAACGGTGTATCCGTATCGTACACGTCGACAGAGAAAGTGCAGCCCTGCTGGAACAGGAACGGATCGAAGGAATATCAGAGCAGCGGACCAACGGCCAGCCACGCCGTATCGCATGATCGATGAGACTCTGTTCCACTTGCAGATCCCCTGAACCGAAACGACCCGGAGGAATGTTGCCATAGGCCACCTCACCTGAAGAATCCTTACTGCAACGAGATCCTCATACCGGAAGACGATTATTTCTACAGGCTGTTCAACGTGAAATGCATGGACTTTGTTCGCGCCTTTCCCGCTGTCCGACCTGGATGCCGGCTAGGCTCCCGCGTGCCTTTTAACCTCCTAACGGGTGTCCTCGACGGCAACACGGTCTACGGAATCACGGAAACCTTTGCCAGGTAAATCCTTTTATTCTTTTCTTCATCGCGAATGATTTCGTTGGGTGGTCTATCGAGGATAGCAATTCAGCCGTGAAAGCTAACGTTTATAAATCCTCGATGATGCTGGAACGTACGAGTAGGCTTAGCGCTGAGTTTCCGAGGAACAAACGTGATCTGATTCGTTGATACTTTGTTACGTGATGTCAGCTCGTACTAAGAAGTTCCTTCAACGAGACTTCGTTCTTTATCGACTTTCTTACTTGTAGGTTTGTTTTCCACTTAGGACATGTCTCGACGAATAACTTATAGCTCTAATATCGGAAAATGTAATAAGATGCAAAGAAACAAAGGACGTTGAAGAACATATTTCTTCCAAGTCTCTCGATTGCCAATCGAGAACCTCTTCTTCCTTCATCCTGACCATCGCACAGTCCATTCCTCCCCGAGGAAGCGAATTCCATAATAAGAGTAAAACGCGTTCAATAATAATCGAGCCACTTGCAACACGTCTGCTCGAAACGGCTCAAGTCCGTTACGTCAGTCGGGACAATAAATCAGCATTACGTTGTTCCATATTTTCTAACGTGCAGTCTACGTGTATACCTTCTGTTCCTCGCACTTTCTAGTCCGCTCGCATTATGAGATCCGCGGATTGGCCAATCGGGGCCCCTGTATCGGAGGCTCCTTCATCCTCGAGCCGGTCCAATTCGGACCGCTTCACTGCGGGCGAGATAATTCCGCGCGTGTGTCGGCCACGTGGCCAGAGGCGTTCGCAGGATCTAGACACGTCCTTTGTTCGCACTTTCAGGAAGCTTCGCACCGGTTACGGCGGCCTGCTACGCATGAACCCGGTGTTCTCCGAGTACGGCCTGAAGGATTTACTGCCGCTCAAGCTGGACATCCCGGACGAGGGCTGCACACGACCGAATCGATCCATGTACTGCTTCGAGGCTGGTGAGTCTTTTGGATGCAAATTTTCCGTCCAATTTCGAGAAACATTTATTGGAACAAGGTTCCGGTCAGTGTCGAATTAAACGGACCCATGTCCACTCGAGCCATTTACGCGAAGATCAACTTGCTCCGTTGGAAAACGAAGTTGCAGGCAGCGAGAAGTATCAGACACGAAATTCAGTTACGGGAATAGCTTGCGGGGATGCCCCCTGCGGGGTATCGATGACGAAGTTTTCGTTGTTTCGGTTCCTACGGTGTTCCTAGGTGTATTGGCTGTTGGTATACCCTTGGTCATGATGCTATGATAGGGTAGCAGGTAGAAGAACGAAAGAGAAAAAGGAAGGGATGAGCGTTTCGTTTTGGGCCTGCTAGTGAACTCGTCAGTAAGGCTTTCTAACCAGGTACAATAATATACATACAAAAAGATAAGAACTAAAATGTACAAAAGGGTTAGAAATGAAAATTTAGACTATGAGATCGATAGCTCCAGCGTGAAGTACTCGCGATCTAAAATCAAAGCTAATCTACCGCGCTTACAGGTATAGGATAATATAAACCTAAGAACTATTTTATATTAGAATGCGTATTTGCCTATGTATAGAAAAGCACGAAAACTATACAGCTTTTGGTTTTAAATTGGTAAAGTGCAGGGGGTGGACTAGATAAATAAATAAATAAATAAATTAATTAATTAATAAATAAATAGGGGGAGAGAAGGATGAGAGAGGATGAGGTGAATGCGGTATATATCTTCCCAGCAGGCCCTGCCTTAGATAGGAATACTTAGGTAACATAGGAACTTCTATAGGATTCACGGAGGACTTGCGAGAAAGCCCTCGTACCTCCCTCAAGTAGGAATTCATCTAGTGACGAGGGTGAGAATGATGGCCGCTACAATTTTGTCAACCGACAGGTTCAGGCAAATGGAACTCGACTGCAGTTTCGATGAAATATTTGGTAGCGCCGCAGGAAATGCACGTGTCTAATGTTGAAAGAGTGATGAGCGGTTATGGTGGTTACCGGCTTTAATTAATAACCGCAATTTCCGTGGGAGTTGCGATATTTGCGCGGAAAATGGGAGAACTATTTCGAGAACTCGTTCGCGTGTGCAAACGAAAATCAGAGAGAGAAAATCTGACGAGTTTATGTCCGTTGGCCTACTAATTTCGACGTCCATTGACGCCCAGGAAAATATACTTTCGTGCCTACATAAAAATATTCTAATTTTCATTAACACTTCCATTACCACGCACTTTTTATATGGTACGCTCAGGTGGCCACGATAAAATTTCCATTATTCTTAGGATACAATGATAACAAATTATCAAACAATATGGCAACGAAAAGAAAATGGCTGAAATTATTAATATTTTCTATTCAGAGTTCTCTATTCATCTACGTTGTACAAATTTTCAAAAAAATGGTTAGAATAAAACAAATATAAATTAAAAAATTAGTATCACTAGACACTGGTGACCACTATGGTCCCACTGAGGAGACAAGCATGGGTCATTGATGACCGCTATAGCAGTAACGTGTTAAAACCTTCGAACCTTCTCCAACGCAGTCACAAAGAACCTCAAACAAACTTTCACCCTGCAACCTCGTACCTGCGACCTCTGGACGCATGATTGCTCGCGTGACAACTCAATCGAACGTACAAACTACGAATCTAATCTCTCGTCATCTCGGGATAGCAACTCGCAGGCATTGTGATCGACGAGAAAAGTCCTCGATATACGATTTTATCTCACCCCCGCCGTGCTCGATCTAGGAAATACTTTTCCCACGTTATGCTCAACCATAATCAGCCAGGAAACCTGTAGCTATCCTACGTGATACTCTTTCTCGTGCTCGAGACGAATCGACTCTGTTGCAACCGATGCATTAACCGATATTAGCTCGATTAAGCCGCGATTAAATTTGACGTTACGCGTAATCGTTCGCGTAATCGATGTTCGATCTGAGTGAAAACGGGCGTTCCATTTGGAGACGCAGCTGATGGAAAAATTGACCGTCTCGCGCGGACGAGATTGTCTGGAAATTGTCCGGGACAGCGGTTAATTGCCGGGGAACCGGGCCACGTCAGGCGAAATGATAACAGGGATCGCATTATCTATTGTATAAACCGGTGGAGTGTCGAAATTCCCGTGGAACGCTCGCGTTCTGCGCCATCGAGCCGAAGAACGTCGATCCAATGGCCGATCATCGATGTATGTATAATATGCAGCCTGGGAAAGGGAGTGGCCCAGTATCAAGATCGACGGCTTCATTCGCGAAGTTGCTACAATGATCTTAAGGGAAAATCGGTGCTCGCTGTATTCGATTATCCCATGGAATTCGTCACGTTCAGTTCAGAGTTGGATCTTTTAGATATTCTGCGATATGTCCATAGGGACTTCTAGTAAAATTGAAAGTGGCACTTGGTTGGGGGATTAACGCTATTCCTACCGACACTTCTCTTATACCTGTTCCTACCGCGACTGGTCAAATAACCGGTCTTTAGCACAGCTTATAATTTTGAATATAGAATGAAGATAATAGACAATTTCGTGAAAATGTTTAACATAGATTTTGAATATATATGTGTTGATATAATAAAGGAACGATGTCTGTAAGAAAGGGATGAGTGGGACAAGTATGCGTGGGATGTCAATATCTAATGGATTCTGGTTATCGTGATAAATGAGTATGCGTGTAATGATCGAGGTGTTGTGTGAATTTGTTTGTAATTAAATAAAAAATTGTCCTTATTGTTAGTGGTATTTCATCCACCACTAACACAACCTTCCTGATATCGAGTACTATGGACACTATGAAGATATTTGAAGATGTGCCCTGGCAGATATTTTTGAAGATGATTTTATATAAGCAGTGTGATGGAAATTTATTTCTAAAATGAGAAATTAGAATCGAGATGCCTGGAGTTCAGTAGTAACTTTTGTTTAATCCTCGTGACATCGAGTACTATGGATACTATGAAGATATTCGAAGATGTGTCCTGACAGAAATTTTTGGGAGAAATTTTATATAAGCAGCGTGACAGAAATTTATTTGTAAAATGAAAAATTAAAAACGAGGTGTCTGGAGTCCAGCAGTAACGTTCGTTCAACTTGTGGTAATGGTTGACATAGATTTTGAATATATATGTGTCGATATGATGAAGAAGCGATGTCTGTAAGAAAGGGATGAGTGGGACAAGTATGTATGGCATGACAATATCTAATGAATTGAGGCTATCGTGATAAATGAGTATGCGTGTAATGATCGAGGTGTTGTGTGAATTGTGTATGTCAAGTAATGTATGAAAGTAGAAAAAACAAACCAGAGAGATTGGGCATAGATCAGTTGTAATTGAATTGTAATAGTGAAAATAGGTGTGAGCACGTGATTGCGAGAAATTAATTAGATTTATACTTAATATTCGTGTTTGATCAATTTTTGTAATTAAATAAAGAATTGTTATTATTGTTATTGATGTTCCATCCATCACTAACAAATTTAACAGTATAAGAATACTGTGTAGTTTCTTTTATTCAGAAGTATAGTATGTACATTTTATTACAAATAGTCCCCTGGATTGTACATTTTCCATATACGCACATTTTGCATTTGAAATAGATTTTGTTAATCTTATTATCTTTGTGATATCTTATCTAGCATGTTTTCCGTGGAATCTGTAAAGTTTTTGTTAAACTATTTGAGAGATATAACGATTAAACCACTTTAGGCTAATAATATGGTTTCTTAGTTCTTTATTCTGGCTCTCTTGTGAATACAATTGTGCCTCGTCTAACAATAAGGCGAACCGTGTGTATATCAGTTCTGCCTGTGCGTGTGTGTGTGTGTGTGTATGTAAATATCCTGTGTTTTGTGGTTTCTTAGTAGATGGCGGCATTGTTATATCTCTTACAGTTTTCCGTGAACCTGTACTTATATTTGTAACTGGTGTTGCTTGATCTTCTTTCTAGCTCTCTAGCTGTCTAGCTGTCTAGCTCTTCTTCGTATTCGGTGGCAAGTTCTTCTGCCAATTGGAATAAAAATTCTTTCCTCGTAATTTTTTCTCCCGTGATTTCTTAATATAAAACCCATGCATTCAACCCTGCTAAATCCAGGATGTTAAAAAATACGATTTTACCGTGTAATTTCTGGCTATTTAGTCGATCACGTCTATACCAAATTTGGTGCTGTTATGTAATTTAATTGTCTGTGGTAACGAGTGCTATTTTCTTCAACTTCTACGGAGTTATGCATCGAACTAAATCATGCCACAACTGCAAATACTATTACGGAAATACTTAAATCGTTTAACCGGTTTAATGATCGGCCGTGGTTGGTAAGATGGACTACAATTTTTTCTCGGTAAACCAAAAATAAAAAAGGAAGCAAATGTTGAAAAATGTATATTTTAGCAGAAGTCGTGAAGTTTAAGGACGATGCAATTATGCTGTATATAGGAAATTCTAATGGAAATTTTTAAAACGATCATTTAACAGATAGGAATAGTGTTAACGACTCGATGTTATTGCCATCGATTCTATCGCAGGTAAGGTAGTTAAGGTAGTTGAGAAAGATGAAATCCAAAGTCGAAAGTTTCGTGAGCATTAACATAATTAGGTTCCTCGAGGATCGAATAATTTGTGTATAGTTAGATACAATCGGTACGATAGTCTGAATTTTTGCAGAAGCTTGGAACGGAAGTTGAGAGGATTTTCGAAGAAATAATTGGAGCGAGTTAACGATAAAGCCCTCGAACGGATAGAAAAGTTTGCAATTCGTTGAAAAATTAGCGATAATAACAGGATGATGCAAGTTTTTAATAAGCAGACGGAAATAAAAAACCGGTGGAAATAAAAGTTTCTTCCGATTGATATTATTAAACAACGGAATGCGGTTTGTTCCACTTTCTAGCGTGAAAAATCGCGCACTTTTCAGCGATCGCGAGCAACATTCTTGCTGAACGTAGCGTGACTTTTACTGTTCCCAGGTGAGATAAGAGTGAACGAGCAGCTGGTGTTAACCTGCATGCACACCCTGATGGCGCGCGAGCATAATCGAATCGCGAAGACGTTGCTTCAGATTAATCCTCACTGGGACGACGAGACCCTGTACCAGGAGACAAGGCGAATCGTCATTGCTCAGATTCAACACATCACTTACAACGAGTTTCTGCCTATTCTGCTTGGCAAAGATGTCATGGAGAAGTTTGGACTTCTTCTCGAGAAGAACGTAAGAGACAAATTTGGAATATTTCGTATTATAGATTCAAAGGTTAGAAAAACGAAGCAGTGTTTCACGTATTTAATGAGACACGTGAATTTTAACCCTTTGCGATCGTGAACTTTAACTCGACAAACAAGCGTTATTATGAACAAGAGGTATTGACGCAGTAGAGAAAATATGCAGTAAAACATTTCGATAAAATGCAAGAAAAATATATTAATTTACGTTATGTTTATATATGACACGTTTTAGATTCGTGCATGGTATTGTATCATTCGAAGCAATCACCTATCTGCAAGATTTAGCCGAACAAGTAGCATAGTAATACCTTGATTCTCTTCTTCCATCTTTGATTTTCTAATTGGAACACAGTCTTTACACCTTTCTGTGTGATCTCGTCGAATAATATGTAAAAGGCCGTTCAGCCTACTATGGTTTCAGAAATTGAAGGATTTTTGGGATCAGCGTCACGAAAATCTTCAACTAATTGATCCACCAAGCGATGCACAAATTGCAAATTCATTAACATTTTATATTCTGTTTCTTCTGATTTTCTCGTCATTTATTTGTTTAATTATTTAGTATACTATAACCATGCGTATCTTATCACTCAGAGAGACAAACGTACGCGAGCTGCTACATAATATGTCTCCGCAGCTGTAAATAGAATTGGGCAGCTATTTGCCAACAACCACAAAGGGTTAACCTTTTGACTGCCACGCCAAGATCACATGTTTCGCTCAGGACGTCACGTGAGATGCACCGCTAGATGCAAGATTTGTTTTAATAGTTTTTTGATGTTCTAATAAAAATTTTTAATCGTTCAATATGGCGCTTTTTAGTTCAAAGTATCTTCTAATTAGCGGTTATATTCAAAATGCACTAACTGTCAATTTTCATTCAATGTTGTTTAATGTAGTTTAAGTAGTTCAAGCACTTCGGTCACCAATGACCACCGTGGCCGGTCATACATGTCCAACGTGGCAGTCAAAATGTTAATTAAGAATAAAGAAAATAAGGGATATGATACAATTTATGCAGATACACTTTTATTCTGATGTCTGAAGAAAGGTTTCGACCCTTTACGCCCGTATACAGCGAAAAATGACACGAAACTGACTGCCTAGAGTCAGGAAAGAACAAAAGCTAGGCCCGCTACAGCTGTCAATTGTTTTATATCCAAATGTTCCAAATGTTGGATACGCTTTAGGACAAAAGTGGCAATGTTATAACGTTGTTTGAAATATTTTTCATTTCTGAACGCTTTCAAACTCGATTTCCAAGATAGACTTCTCGATCTAAACGGCAATAGCTAGATTTCAGCCGAATTAAATTAGTAATATCTGCTTCTTATATTTATAAGAAATGAAATTTAGCATTGGTAATTATATGCATATTTCATTTACACAGACATACTGGGACGGATACGACGAAAGCGTGAATCCAGCAGTGATCGATGCCTTCGCCTCTGCAGCCTTCAGATTTGGGCACTCGCTATTGCCAACGGCAGTGGAAAGATGGAGCAAGGCTCACAAATTTATCGGTGAGTGAGAAGCCAGAGTTCGATTTCTCGTGTTAATTATTAACGTTTTATGACTACTCGTGTCAATTTAACTTATCGACAGCTTCGAAGAGGCTGTCAGACTTGATCAGAAGACCGTTTGACCTGTACCGAGCTGGTGTCTTCGACGAGTACGTCATGGGACTGATGAACCAGGTCGCCCAAGCTATGGACGACTCCATTACCCAAGAAGTAGGAAGCACTCTTTCACACAGTTACAAAGTAGAAATCACAGAACGCTTCACTCGCATTAATTCTAGGTGACGAATCATTTATTCAAGAAAGCAGGAGCCAAGTTCGGACTGGATCTGGTCTCGTTTAACATGCAACGAGGTCGTGAATTTGGTATTCCAAGTTACATGGAGTTCAGGTTGGCACATTTCCTTTGAAATATCTAATTTATTCAAGTTTACTAAAAAGGGAGTCTAGGG